ATATATATATATTATATATATATATATATATATATATATATATATATATATATATATATCTGTGTGTGTTTGTGTTGTGTGTGTATGCGCATTTGTACATATATACATATATAACTACATGTATATGTATATATATACATATATAACTACATGTAAATGCATATATATACACATGTAAATACACACACATGTCTATATATATATATATATATATATATATATATATATATATATATATATATATATATATATATATATATATATATATATATATATATATATATATATATATATATATATATATATATATATATATATATAATTGCATGTATGTATGTATAAGTGTGCTGTACGTTTCACTGAGGCTCATCAGAAACGAGTCATACGATACACTGATAATGTACATACCATTTCAGTGTTTTTGTATAAGGTATCCTTTCAGTTTGTACACGTGAACGGGATCGAGCTGCATTGCAATGTTTTTTGTGTTTTTTTGCAAACGTGATATACAGGTACTGTATAACTTTAAATCGTTTTGTATGCAAGTCTTTTGGTCGATTTTTAGTGGCTGGATTCTTTTTAGATAAAAAGAGAGATATGAAAAAAATATAAAAAAGTTTTAGGTACGGGTACCAATGTATTGCAAAAAATTTACATGAAATTGGATATTTGATTCAAGCCACGGAGAGAAGGAAATCATGTACTAACGGAAAGGTTTAATCTTTTCAATAGAATATACTTTATTCCCGATTTTATTGACTTATTTGACACGAATACACACACACACACACACACACACACACACACACACACACACACACACACACACACACACACACACACACATGTATGTATATATACTTGATAAAAGGACTATTCTTAAGAATAAGCTAGAAATACATCAGACTTCAAATACAACTTAGTTCTTACAAACCCTGGGTCGAATATTGGGTCAGATTCCATAATACGTTTCTTATTGATTTAATTGTAGCAAGGGATCAGGTTTCGCAAGAATCATAAACTAATGGATTCAAGGGGAAAGATTTTAATCAAGCAACAACAAAACAGAATACAATTCATACGCAAATTCCCCAGTATCATTACCAAGCGAGACATCTAAAATTTTATCTCTTATAGAACTACGTAATCACACTGATATATTTTCCAACAATGGTCTTTCTTTTGGTTTCTTTCGCATCCATTTCTCTATCTCTTCTTTGCCTTACACTGTGCTGCATAATCGCAGTGATACGTCTTGCAGCCTGCTAGTCCTCGATTCAGCAACCGCGCTGGTGAATCGAGCCAAACGAGGGCTTTAAGGCTCAAAATCCGTTAAATGGCTATTCGCGTTGGTACTTACTTTGCCTTAGTAGCCAAATCGCCGCGACCATTACCCTGTTGCATCCCTTTTCTTTCAGACAACAACGGTCGAAATTGCCATATGCAAAGTACTTTGGAATTGAATACTTTAAACTGGGGAAGGAAAATCTGTACCTAACCGGGTCAGGAAATGATGGTTCTTGCTATAAAGATAAAGATCTAACATTATCTTTCCGTAATTTGACTGATCATTAGCTAGTAAACGTAATAAACATTCTCTTTTTCCATTAACCGTCCGAATAATGTAAAATGGTTTCACTTCAAAACTCGAACGGAAATCCTCGTTCGCCTTTCGTACTTTTGAGTCGCAAAGGCGACCGTGTTCAGAAGCAGCGTCCAGCAAGTGGCAAATGAATAAATTCATACACACATATGTATATGTATATGTATATATACATATACATATCTACATATAAATATATACAAATACATATACATACACACACACACACACACACACACACACACACACACACACACACACACACATATATATATATATATATATATATATATATATATATATATATATGTAGACACATACATATATACATACATGTATATATATATATATATATATATATATATATATATATATATATATATATATATATATATCTTTGTGTGTGAGCGTGAGTTTGTTTTAAAGAAAGAAAGATGGTAGAAGGGGCGTTCAACCGTTCAATTAACAACTTCAACACCGCAACAGGGAGGCACGAATTAGCCAAGGCCGTCGCACGCCTACTTACCAACGTGACCTGACCGCACAGTACATATATGTATACCTCTATGTCTTATATGCCCTGATGAAGCAGTAAATGCGAAAAGGCATTCGGCATAGACTATTCGTGTGTTTTCCTGTACTTCCCTTCGTTGTTCTACTTGCACACAAAAAACACTCACACACATTACTGTGCGCAAACGCACCCACATTAATAGTGAGTGTTTATATAATTGCACACGTTTTGAGTCTATGTGCCTTTCCATAGGCACGACAATTCAAACTCACCTGAAACTGTTGGGCACTTTTATCGTCAATCTTTACGCGATATTGGGTGAGCGCCGTTCCATTCCCATGCCGTATCGCATCACTGTTCTGACTCTCGTTTTCAACACATGA